GTACATGTATGTATAAATTTTGTTATTCTGGAATAAGAACGAATTTCTCCTCTAGTCACCAAACAGCATATATTTGTGTGGATTGATGGTGTATCTCATCCCAGAACTCATCTTTTGCATTTTATAAGTATAAGAGCATTTCACCCCAATTCTGCAGAGACACTATATTCTGACCCAGTTTACACAGTTTTCTATTTCTGAACATGATGGGAAATAAAAGCATCTTCAGATAGAAGCCCAGGAGAAGATGATAGAAAGAAAGGAAGAAAGAAAGAAAGAAAGAAAGAAAGAAAGAAAGAAAGAAAGAAAGAAAGAAAGAAAGAAAGAAAGAAAGAAAGAAAGAAAGAAAAAATACCTAATTGGTTGGGGACAAACATTTTGCAAACACTTGAATAGGTCAGACCACAGATAACTGTGTCTTGGAAAATTGTAATGATGGGAAATTTATAAACCCTGAGGGGAACTGAGAAGTGGTTCTGCAGGATTATGACCTTTCAGGGAAACCTCTTTAGATTCCATTTGGAAGTCAATAAGGAAACTTCTGCTTCTTTATTTATGTTTAGCTTGAGACCATGTTGAAGACAGTACTTGAGAAGTGGTGGGGAAAATTCTTTATCTCATCAGCCAGAGCTGCCCATCCTCATTCTTAGATATAGAAGTGAGACTTGGAACTGTAGTTCACTTTTTGGCCAGCTGGCAGTTGGGCTTTCCTCCATAGAGAATAGAAGATTGTCATTATCAAGAATTTTCAAGGAATGGGGACATGGTGAGATTTATCATTTGCATTTGTGCATATTCCAAGAGGGTTTTAAATTGGGATGTAGTACTAGAAGTATGGGTGTCTTGATGCAGGCTGCCAAATTTAAGGCAAGCTAGGGTTTATCATGAAACTGTGCACACTGGGCTAATTATATAACCATTTTTTGGCCTCAGAATCTTCATTCTTAATGGGAATTATATACTAACAACCTCAAATGATTTAGAAACAAAATCATAATGTGGCTTTGATTGGACAGCACTTGACACATTTTAAATGCTCAATAAATAACAACCATTTGAATGCAAACTTACTTTGGAGGCCAGGGCTCCTCATTACTGCAAGTCTAATGGAGTTAGACCTACCTTCAGCTTATCTTCTCCAACTTCAATCCAAATAATTGTGAAGTGCAACAAGTGAATATTTTTGTCAGAGCTAGTCAATAGTTTTATATATTCTTTCTTAGCATACATTTATTGTTCATCCTCTAACATTGTCCTTCTTCCTGGTGATTTAGATTAAAAAGTGGAATTATTCTGAGGCTATGTAAATAATACTGATGTAGGAGCACAGTAATTCAAGTGCTGTTTACCACTCACAGTACTATTAATACGTAGCATATTATTTAATGATCCTGCAAGAAAACCCTAAGGAATGGCCTAGGACATGAAGGGTAAGAATGTTTTACTCAAATCGCAGAGTGTAGACTTCTTATTTTAAATTCATCTACTTAATTTTCTCTAAGTGCATTTAATGTTGCTAAATAAAAATTGGCACTTGCCATCTGCTTTTACAAGTATTGGATTACATTGGCACTTGTCATATAATTTTGTTTTGATTAAATCATGATCCACTGCAGCTAATGAACCTCCAACACACCCTGAAAGGAGGTCAGCATGGAGATCAGGAATGAGGCATTCTGTGTTCAAGGAAAACTGGCTGAATGGGCCTTCAGATAGTTAGATATTTTCAGAAGATTTTATATGTCCAAATTCTTGCCTTTTCTCATATCTAGAAAAGCACTAAAGTCATTACCAGTGACATTTGTTCCTCATGATGAGCAGCAAGCCTCTGCCTAAGTGTGTGCTTGGCAGCATGTGCCCCCTTCACTGAAAAATATGGTACTGAGTATCCCCCTGACTCTTTGAAGCAGTTTCTCAGAGCTTTCTGGAATGCTGTCTCCTGGGCTAGAGTCCTCATTTTGCCCCAAATAAAAGAACCCACAATTCTCACATTGTGTGATTTTTTTTCAGTCAACAATGTCATAAATAGAACTATATTTCTGCCAGGATTGTTCAAGAGTATTTAATTGGGTGAAGTTCTGAACTGCTTTAGGGCCACTGAATCATGGATTTGTTTCTTTCTTAAAATGAGCTAAATCACTAAGACAGCAGATGGAAATAAGGCCCAGGCATCCATCAGGAAGGACTCAGCTGGGAACATTGAAAAGTTATTTTTTTCAAAATTCCAGAAATAGAAAGAGTATAAAAGTTGAGACATTTAGGGAAATCGGCTGAGTGATATTGAAGGGAGAGAAAAGGACCTGATATATGAAGAGAACATATTTCTTAGATTAACAGGGAAAAGAATATGCTTAAATAGACAGATAAAGAATAAATCAGTGCTGAAGTAAATACTAACCCTGGACTAAAAATGCAGTAGATTTAAGGAGCTTAACAGGGAGGTTAATTAGAATGGGATAATATCTTAATTTAATATTATCATAAAATTGCAAAACATTATAATGGCAATTCTACTACTAATTTTAAGAGTTATGAATCTTATATATACTTCAAAATTGATACAGGAATTTGCATTATTTTCATAATGATACTAGAATAGTATTGTTGTCAAAATGAATGGGAAGGAAGCAGTGGGCAATGGGAATAGTGGGGAGGCAAATTTTCCAAGGTTATAGCCCCAAGATATGGCCCAGGGCCCATGGTTTGAGGGCCCTGAGCAACCTCTGTTAGAGCCCCAGCATTTAAACAACATGGCTGTCAAGAAAGGAAAGACCATGAAATCATCTAGGAGAAATGTGAAAAGAACATGGCATTTTGTATAAGAATACATGCAGTTAAAATTGATATCAGAGTGACTACAGAGGTTAAGGAGGGCTGTACCCATAATTCGGCTATCTGTGGATGGTTTAGTGTAGCTGATATTTTGTAATTTGTTAGTTCCACCTATGAAAATTAATTCTGCTGGGTAGGATAAAATTATCATTAAACCCCATCTTCTTTTTCTGAACAGTTTAGATGATGGAAGATATAGTGTTGTAGGTTTTAAACCTGATTTTTGATGTTAAAACTTTTTATAATTATATCAATATAGATAATTGAATAGAAAATAAACCCATTGTTCTCTGCCTATTTTTCTCATTCTTTATGCTTGATTCGTCTTCTCACAAAATTAAATCTGACTTATATTCTTAAAGTATTCTGATCCTAACAAAATCATATATAGCTTCAAATTTGAATTTTATTAGTGGGATTAATCTGGCCAGAGTTTCTTAATTATTCACTGGAACTCTAACCTTTGTGAGATATAACTCTCATGTATCCTAACTGGCAATGACAGTCAAATTATGGCCACCGCAAGTCTAAAATTGGAGAAATAATTTTTTCTTAAAGCATAACCCAAGCAAGATACTGAAGAGGTCAGGAATAATTGTGCAAACTGGTGTCCAAATCAAAAAATAGTCTTGGTCAAGAGAGAATCTCCAGAAGCATTATTTCTAAATTATATACTAGTATTGTTTTTCAGTAATTGAGATGCATACACATTATTTACATGTACATAAGCCAACATATGCATGTGCTTAATAAAATATCTTTAGAATCTCTGTCATATGAAGAAAGAGCTTCAAGATATTAAAGTGAACTGATTGAGATTGTAAAGCAAAGTCACTGGTGCTCAGAACTTGGCAGAGAGAATAATCACTTAAGGGCTTTCCCCACCAAAAAAAAAAAGAAATTTAGTCCCCCTAGAAAGACCTTGAATCAATGTCCATGCTTAAAGCATAAACATCAGCATTAATAAATAAAAAAGCTTCCCAAGTGAGTATAATGTATGGGCAACTTTGAGAAACACTGAGTTCTAGGTGTTGATGGAATTAGAAACCTGAAAGTTGTGATTTTGAGTCCAAATACACTGGTATTGCCAAGTCACCATTTCCCCAATTTTCTTTGCAGATAAACCATTTCTCAGCTGTGTCTGTCCTACATTCACCATAAAAGCAACATTATGATTAGGAGCATGAATAAGTTCATTCTGTATGGGTTAACACAGGCTGTTCTAAAGGAGAAACTAGTACTTGTGATCTTCTTGCTTCTATACCTTGCAACTCTTGGCAAACTTCCATATTGTGATGAACATAAGATGTAGTCAGACACGTGGGAGCCCATGTACTTCTTCCTTTTCTGTTTATCCTTTGCTGATGCCTGTTTGTCAACAACCACTGCACCTAGGTTGATTGTAGATTCTGTATGTGAGAAGAAAGTCATCTACAAAGAATGCCTGACCCAGATCTTTGCAGGTCACTTCTTTGGGTGCGTGGAAATCTTGGTGCTGATTCTCATGTCCTTTGATCATTATGTGGCCATTATTAAGCCCCTGAGATACACAACCATCATGATCCAGCATGTCTGTGGTGCATTGGTGAATCTGACCTGGGTGGGGTCTTGCATCCATTCTTCAACACAGATCCTCTTGGCTCTGAAATTACCCTTCTGAGGTCCCAGTGTTACCAATCACTATTTCTGTGATATGCAGCCTTTACTGGAACTTGCCTGCATGGATATTTATGTCATCAATCTACTCATTGTTTTTAACAGTGGGTACATATGCATGGTGAGTTTCATAATGCTGCATATCTCCTATGTTTTCTTCTTACATTCTCTGAGTAATCAGAGTGTAGAAGGAAGAAGGAAAGCCCTATCCGCCTGCACCTCCCACATTATTGTTATCACCGTATTCTTTGTACCGTGTATATTCACATACATTCACCCTCTAACTGTATTTCCAGTGGACAAGATTGTGGCTGTGATTCACACTATTGGGACACCCTTGCTCAACCCTCTGATTTATACTCTGAGGAATGTAGAAGTCAAAACTGCCATGAGAAAGTTATGGTGCAACAAACTCTGACTTGGGGTGGTAAAGGGCAGAAGACACCAATTGCTAATTCTGCCACAGTTTAAATAAAATTGGATTGATAGAAAAGGCAAAATGTTCTCATCTCAGTGTGGACAATATTATCCTCTTCCAATGGTACCTTGTAGGGATTAGGCAGACTAAGCACAGAGCAAAGATCTATATTTTTTTAAACCAATGTCTCATAGAGTGACAGACTATTAAGTACAGTCATATTTGTGGAAGCCCAAGCCTGTTCCTCATGTCTGCTGTCTGCATTGATATTTCTGCTCTTTTTAGGCTTATGAGCCAGATCTTATTGTTTACCTTATTTATTTATATATTGTTTTGATTTGTATTTTTCTTTTTCATGTTTATTATCCAAATTTAACAATTTATTGCTGATTTCTGCCATCCATTTTGTTGGCAAAACAGTTACTGTTGCCTCATGTTACATAAAATTTAAAAAAAGGAAACCTTTACACTTTATATATACATAATATATATATAATACTTTTGGTGAAGGAAAAGGTTTTTGACAGCAGACATTTACCCATGACTTGAAATTTGATGTTGTTATGGGTTGAATTGTTTCCCTTAAGAAAAAAAATGTGTTAGAGTCTTAATCTGCAGTACCTCCAAATTTGACCTTTATTTAGAGATAGGGTCTTGTGGTGTAAGGACCTGACAGCTTTCTGGAGTGTAATGTAAGCACCTGACGTTAAGCTTGTGATTGTCCAGCCATTCATTTCAAAGATACTCATCTTAATAAATACATTGGCATAACTAGATACAGAGCCAGGTATTTTTGTCCATGAAGTTCCCCTTTTACAAAGCCCTGGGTGACCTATAATTGACCATTTGAGTGACCTTGCTTTCCCCTTCCTATGATTTAGTCCTTCTCTTATGTTTTAAATTAACTAATAGAGAGAGACCCCAAGAAAATGTAGGCATTCTGCCCTTGACCTCAGTGAAGGCAGAACACCAGGTTCTCTTCTCTCTCTCTCTGAACCTGTGGCATCCCTGTGTGACCTCAGTCATGCAGTGTACCCTTCATGACCACTGAGGAATAAACCTTGTTTTTCCAAAGTTCCCTGCTGGGTGTCACTGATCATAATAAAAAGCACAAGAATCCATCCAGTGACAACGTTGATTCTGGTTGGGAAAATCTCTATGGGAGCTCCCCACAAGCAATAGGCTCAGATAAGTGTGGCCAGGGATTCCTAGTTAACAGCATTACTCTCCATAGACTGAGACTGACACAAAAGAGCTATTCAGAGAGGTAATGAAGTTAATTTCTTTTCCTATCAGGGTGAAAAGATGACATCCTTTTAAAAGTGGATACAAAAATTTCAGGAGGGCCTTTGCTAGACTTAAAGAAATGCATAAAAAAAGGGGAAAAAGCAAACAAAAAAACAGCTTAAGAATGTCTCACAGAATCTCAAGTTAACTGGTCTGGCCATACTGACATAGTAAAATGAAAAGGGCTAAACAATTGAATGGTATTTTTCTAATTTGAAGCTAGTAGGAAAAGACCTGACTTGAGATAAATTTCCCTGGGAAATGGCTAGTTCCTATCTTCCTATGTAAACATAGATTTGCTTTCCTTTTTGTAAAATTATCCTAACGAGGTCATTGGGGAGGGGGTGTCTGTGTGTGCTACTTGGAATTTCTTTTAAACAATTCACAATGCAAATAAAAAATGTCTTCTGAATCATCAGAAGACTCCAAGGAGAAAATGGACAGAGAGCTAAATAAAATCAAACATCTCAAGAAATAATGCAGCCTTTCACCCTCTGCTGTGATATTAGATGAAAGAAGAATCCCAGATATCTATGAATGAGTTAAAAAGTCTCCCTTCAGGTAGTGAACAAGCTTCCACAAGGTAAGACTAAAAGTAAATAGTAGAAACCAGTCTACACAATTGTGTAAATTTATTATGTAAGAAAGTAAATCATTTTGAAATAAATCAAACTTAGATCCCATTTCTAGTTTGACCTAAAAATGGGTGACCTTGGGGAAATTCATGAGATGTTCTGAGCCTTGTTGTCTTCAAATATGTAATGAAGATTACTGTTCTTGTTAATGTAAATGTTAGATGTGATACATTAAATTGTGAGTGCATGATTGGAAACCATTGTAGGAGATGTGAGCAATTGAGTGATATAATAAGAATAAGATTTAAAGAGAATCACTTGAGCTGTTTCAGGAGAACAAATTGTTAGGAGCCAGAATAAAATTGCAGACTTGACAGGAGGCTTTAGCTGTGGGCCAGGAAGGAGATGGGAGATAGCAAATGATCAAATTTGTGACATTTTTTGAAACTAGAGACAACCAGATCTGTCAAAGGAGTGAATAAGTAATATGACCAATAATAGGGTGAATAACACGATGAAATTTATTGGCTGAGAAATTATAATGGATATGGTACCATTTAATGAGATGGGAAACACCTTTTTTTATTGTGGAAATTTAAAATATTGTTTTATAAATACTAAACTGACATCCAACTGGAGATGTCCAAAATTGAGATGTTCCTCAGAGAAGTGTTAAAATTAAGGTAGAGATAGGGGCTGGAGATACAAAACTGGAGGAAAGACCCTCAGAAAGAAGTCTCAGTTCTGAGACTGTTCAGGGCAGTGAACTTCTATTCACAGTTTGATCTACTCACACAAAGTACATAAATTAGCTTAAATGGGACTCGATTTTACACTTTTGTGTCTTTATAAATAGTGTACCTTTTCTTGGAATTCCCATCCCATCTTTTCTTGTTCTTTGCTTTTTCTTTAGAACTGTGCTAAGCATTGCTTTTTCCAGGATGTCTTCTCTGATTCCAGTTTGATTGACACATTCCTACTCTGTGAACCTTAGCTTGTGTGAATATGCTTATAATGCTAATTATTACATGAGTCTGGGATGTTCTGATATCTAGTCTTTAATATATCCCTGAAGTCAGGGAACTATACCTTATTCAGTTTGGTATTCACAATATCTTTGACACATTGGACTCAAATATATACTCCATACAATTTATTTTAATTGAATGGATTAATTAAAGGTTAAATTTATAATGCATTTGAGTGTTTCCCTATTGTTTTGTAGGTAAATCACTTCAAATATGTGAAGTCAGCTCTTGTACAGACTAGATGAAACCAAGGAACAATATAATTGAGTTTGTCCACTTGGGACTCACTCAGAGACTCCAGGGTCAGAAAATATTATTTGTTATGTTCTTGTTAATCTACATGGTGAGAATGGTGGGCAACCTACTCATTGCTATAACTGTGGTGGTCAGTCCAACCCTGAATTCCCCTAGGTACTTCTTTCTTGGCTATTTATCATTTATGGATACTGTTTATTCTACTACAGTCACCCCAAATATGATTATACACTTACTCAGTGAGAAGAAAACCATTTCATTCCAAGGCTGCATGACTCAGCTTTTTATAGGGCACTTATTTGGTGGTGCTGAGATTTTGCTCCTGGTAATCATGGCTTATGACCGCTAAGTGGCCATCTGCAAACCTTTGCATTATTTGACTATCATGAATAAGTGAGTGTGTGCTCTGCTGCTGCTGTTGACTTGGGTTGGTGGGTTTTTACATGCTGTAAGTCAACTTCTCTTTGTATACAGCCTTCCCTTCTGTGGCCCCAATGTCATTGATCACTTCCTCTGTGACATGTACCCTTTTTTAAAACTTGCCTGCTCTGACACCTACATTATTAGCCTCACTGTGGTTGCCAATGATGGGACAATGTTTATGGGTCATCTTTATGCTCTTGCTCATCTCCTATGGGGTCATCCTGCACTCCCTGAAGACTCTGAGTCTGGAAGGGAGGTGTGAAACCTTATCTACCTGTGGCTCCCACATTACTGTGGTGGTCCTCTTTGTCCCCTGTATTTTTATGTATGTGAGACCTCCTTCTACCTTACCCATTGATAAATCCTTGAATATTTTTTGCACCATAATCACTCCTATGTTGAACCCTCTAATCTATACTCTGAGAAATGGAGAGATGCAAAATGCCATGAAAAAGCTCTGGACCAGAAAAAGAAAAAAAGGCAAAATAGATCACCTATTTTCAATGAAGAATTGCTCTTTCCAGGTAAGCCATGTGTGATTCGTTAATTGCAGTAAATTTCTCCTCAGATTTGATAACTTGGGCAAGACAAAACTATTTATTATGTGAATACTTCCAATGATCAAAATATACTTTTAAGATTTTCATAATTTGCTAGTTCAAAGTATGCATTTTGCTTTTAAATATATTTTTAGGATTTTCACAATCCTTAGGCAAATGCATTTAGTTTTAGATTTTCACAATTTCTTAGGAAAATATATTTAGCTTTGGGGTATATAATGATTATTGGGATTATAGATTTATGTTCTATATGACAAATTGAGCTATTTTAGGACTGTAAATTTATTTTAGTTAGTGGAAGATATTCTCATATTTCTCTTCTAAATAATATAATCTTTCAGAATTATGGGACTTGATACAGATTTCAGAAAAATTAAACAAAAATAAGACACAAAAACTTGGTTTACTCTTCCCGTGGTTAGCCCATATTAATATTTGAAGTATGTATCTTAATTTTTGTAGCTGCAAGATACTTAACATACATTATTTTACTCCTAATGCCTATGTTAATTTTGAAGAATAATGATGTTTCAGAGTTGTAATATTAATCATAAGGAAGCTAGGTATATAAAAACTCTCTGAATGAACAAAATATATATACAGAAAAATAACTAAATCATACTTATTTTCCCAATTGGGCAATCTCATTATCTTCTCAAATGAAGCAGATTTGTATGGAGTTATATTTTCATAAAGATGATCCATTAATCTTCCCAGATACTTTAGGATGTCTGTTTACACCTTTGCTCTTTTTTAATAGTCCTATTGCTTTTTTGTTTAAAGTGTTTCATAGCCTTCTGTAAATACACAGGCTCTGCCTTTCATGTATGAATGTACCATAATCCATAATCCATAAACTAAAAAACTTGACAACTGATAT